TGTGTGTGTGTGGATGGTGTGTGTGGGTGATGGTATGTGGGGGGGTGATGGTGTGTGTGTGTGGATGGTGTGTGTGGGTGATGGTGTGTGTGTGGGTGATGGTGTGTGTGTGTGTGTGTGCGGGGGGGGGTGATGGTGTGTGGACAGTGTTACATGTGGGAACGGGGTGTGGGTGGCCACCCCAGCCCCAGAATGTGGAACCCGCAGCCACATGGGCCAGGCGAGGCTGTCCTGGCTCCTTCCTTTGCCATGGTCTTGTGGAGCCCATGGCTGCATGGCTCCCTGGCTCTCCCCCCTGCGGGGCAGGTGTGAGAGTGGCAGGTGTGAGCGTTGCAGGTGTGAGAGTGGCAGGTGTGAGCATTGCAGGTGTGAGAGTGGCAGGTGTGAGCGTCGCAGGTGTGAGAGTGGCAGGTGTGAGCGTCGCAGGTGTGAGAGTGGCAGGTGTGAGCGTTGCAGGTGTGAGAGTGGCAGGTGTGAGCGTTGCAGGTGTGAGAGTGGCAAGTGTGAGCGTTGCAGGTGTGAGCGTCACAGGTGTGAGCGTCGCAGGTGTGAGAGTGGCAGGTGTGAGCGTTGCAGGTGTGAGAGTGGCAAGTGTGAGCGTTGCAGGTGTGAGCGTCGCAGGTGTGAGCGTCGCAGGTGTGAGCGTCGCAGGTGTGAGCGTCGCAGGTGTGAGCGTCGCAGGTGTGAGCGTCGCAGGTGTGCCGCGAAGCCCGGGCCCCCTGATCTGCGGCTTCCTCGAGCCTGGAGCTGCAGCCCCGCACCGCTGTGCGCACGCGGAGCCGTGGCTCTGGCCTGCCTTGCCGCGTGGCGGGCACCACGGCGAAGCCCTCGGGCTGCATGTCGGTGCGCTGGGCGCTGGGCTCCCACTGCCGGGGCCCTCCGGGATGTCACCCCGCTCCTCCCCCGGGGACCCCGAATCTGCCTGCACCTGCCCGTGCCATGCCAGCAGGAGCACACAGTGGCGCCCAGGGAGGCCACACCCTGGGCAGAGGCCCCCGGCCATGGCCTCCCATGCAGCCCTGGCGGAGCCCCAGCACCTCTGCACCCCCACAGCTCAGGGATGCGGGCTCTTAAGTGAGAGGGTTCCGTGTGCATGCGTGTGTGCGCCTGCGCGTGTGTGGAGAGACAGGCATGTAAGTAGAGATACATAGATGCTGTATAGGCTCCTTGGTGCTTCCTTTTTGAGGTGATTTTTAGAGAAACAGCAGCAGTTAGGGACAGAGGCCCACGCTCCGGCCCAGGCTGGGCACACACGGCGGTGTTGGGGGCTGGGGGCTTGCTGGGGTGAAAGGAGGGGGTTTGCCTTCGGGGTCTTGGCTAATCACCCGTTGTCCCCAGGCAGGCCCCGGGCCGGCCGCTGTTCCAGTTTCCCTTGCTGTGTCGTGGAGGAGGGCCGGGCGCTGTCCCCGTTCCGGTGGGAGGCAGGGTGGCGTAGTAGGAGGGGCCTGGATTTGGGGCCAGAAGGTCTCGGTTGGAGCTGTAACCACCCTTTCTCTTCTCTGTGCCCTGTGTCCTCAGCCTCGAGAAGCGGTTGGTAATTTTAGGTTAAACCATGTGGAACATCTAATATTTGACCATTTTTTAACCTCAAAAATTATAAGCTTACAGAGTTCAGCCTAATACCTGGCCCACCCACCACATAAAATTGCCAGAACTACCATTTGAAGATACATATCGAAGAATCACTTTTAAACAGCTAAGTTCAAAAAGTGTGAATTATTTTACGGACGCACCTGTCATTTTGACGCTTTCTCCCTTAGCTGAAACCGACTTGTTTACTCCTCCCTTTTCTGGGCTCCCTCGGCATCAATCCAGCCGCGCGGCCTCTTCCTCCTTCTCAGAGACGCTGTGCCGCTGTGCCGTGGGGCCTTGTCACAGCCACTTTTACGGAGTTTAAGAGAAAAAGCTGTCACCCCAGCATCTCCCAGGTGCCAGGCTCTGCCAGGGACGCAGGAAGCTGACTGGGTACCGCGTCGGGAGACACAAGGTTTAGGCGGGGAACTCTTGGGAACCCGCTGGGGGCAGCTGTCCCCCTTTTCAGGGTGAAATGACATTGAGTCCCGGCTGGAGCAGCCGGGCCGGGCAGGGTGGCAGTGCGTGAGTGCAGGTGTCCCCCCTCCTGACTGCGGCCGGCCGTGCAGGTCATGAGATGGACCAGCCCCAGGGAGGCGAGGGCGTGTCAGATCTCAGCCGGCTCTCGTGGGGTGCAGGGTCCGGGCCGATGGCCACGGGGTGCAGCCTCCCCGACTCCCTCCCTAGTCTTTCTGCAGGACGGGAGCGCTTCCAGGTGACTGTGCTCCTACAGGACCCACAGGCATCTGGGGCTGGGACCTCTGCACTCCTGGGGCAGTTCTCGATCCGCAAACCGCATTCTCAGCCTGTTCTGTGGCTTCCTGGGGCTCCCGGTCCCACGTGCCCTGACTAACGTCCGGGCCCCGGGTGCTGGTCCCGGCGCTGGGAGTGCCGCAGCGCAGGGCAGACGAGCCTGCTGCCCCCATGGAGCTCACGTTTGTAAGAGTTCTGTCCCCTCTGTCCCCAGGGAGCCCCTGACCGGAGTCTCCGTCTGCCCTGGCACCGCACGCAGCGGGCAGGCCGTGCACGGGGGCTTGGACGCCATGCATCCCTCCGCTCGCCCTTTCATCCAGCAATATTTACTGACAGTTTGCTTCTCGGCAGGTGTTCTTCTAGGCATGGGGGGAAGCGAGGAGGGACACAGGCGCGAGCCTCCCGTCCCGTTTCCGGGCCTGGCCCGCAGAGGGCTCCTCTGCCCCCACAGCCCGCGCAGGGTGGCCCGGCCGGTCACGTGTTGACTCGCGGGGCAGTGGGGCGCGAGGGGCATGTATGCTTCGGAGTCACGGGGCGGAGATGCGTGCGTCCCACAGAGGGTGATAAAACAGCGGGGCGCTTGGGCGTGAGGAGTGGAGGGATGTCTGTTGGAAGGAAGCCTTCCCCGCCCGTTTTCCGGAAGCATCCACCTCCGGTGCCCTGAGCGCTCACCAGCGTGCGGGGCCGGGCCGGGGAGCCCTCCCCTGGGCGTCAGGGTTAATGGTTAACGCCTTGGCAGCGGTGACGAGACGGAAAGCCTGTGATTTTTGCTGAGCAGGGGAGCGTGGAAATTTCCGCTGGTAGCAGACCCTGCACCGATGCGTGGCAGCGTCGGGCAGAGCGGCTCGGCCACGCCGGCCTGCTGCGGTGCCCAGGCCCAGCACCCAGGCGCGGGGCCGGAAGGGCTGCTGCCATCAGCAGAGGCGCCCATGGTGTGGGGGAGTGGGGACCCAGAAGTTTCCAGAAAAGGCGAGGCTGCTTGGCGACAGCACAGCGATTTGTTGGCGGGAGGCCCCACACTCGCCAGCCTCAAACCGGGAAAACTCGTTCTTAGCAAAATGCCCAAGTGCGTTCTGACAGCAGGAAAACTCACCGGTGGTTCCGGAAAGCTGTGGTTTTGGCCTCTCACAGGAAGAGGCACCAATGTACACTGTCACGACCAAGCCGAACTCTGGCACCGGCTTGTGTTTCTTTTTTCTTTGCCTCGTGTGTGTGTGTGTGCGTGCATTTGTTTTGCGCTGTTTCCCTCCTGGGCTGGTAGGAACATTAGATGACCCTTGTCTTGGGAGTGAGGATGGAAGAGACTCGTTTCTCGGCTAAAGCGGTTCAGGCAAGAGAAGGCAGAACCGTTCGCCGGAGGAGCTCGCGAGGCGGCTCCATTCACGGGCTGGGGACTGGGACGCCTCTGCCGGCCGCAGCCTTGGAGGGAGGGTCACTGGCCTAGGTCAGACGGTGGCAGCGTCTTATTCTGTGTTGTCAGACTTGATTTCAGTGAGGCCGGCAGCACCTGAGGGCAGGGCAGGGGGTGGGGATTAGATCTTTGGCATTAAAATAGACACCGAGTTAAAACTCACAGAGCTGAGTCGGTTTGCCTACTGCAAACCAACCCTGAGAGCATCGGTCTCTGGTCTCTGGCAGGGACAGTGGGGGGAGGAAGGACACAGGGGACATATTTCCTGGACATGGGATGGTGGGGGTGGGGTGGGTGGGAAGGAGTGTGGGAGAACCCAGGGGTTCTGGAATCCATCCACCTGAGTTCAAGTGCAGGTTCGGATGACTCTGCTGAGTGTGAGCTGGTGTTGGTTTACCCAGCCGGGACCAGGACTTCTCTGAGGTCAGTTTCCCACCTCCACGATGACAGGACTACCCACCAAAGGAGGTTATTCTGGGCCAGAGCATACAAGTTACCCTTCTGCCTAAGGTTCATTTCTTCCCTTTCTATGATGAGGTGCTATCACATTAGCCGATCGGTTACTTCCTGATTT